CCGCTCATGGAATTCCCTCCCCAAAGATCTCTGCTTGCCTTTACCTCTTGGCTTTCTTACTCTGCCAAGCTTTTTATTGATTTTTATCTTATGCTGTTTTTAATTACATGCTATTTCTTCCATTGTTGTTTTGCTTTTATTTCACCCCCCCCCCATTTTAAGCTGCTTTGTGAAAGGCTTGCCCTGCAGGGCGAGGTAGAAACAGAATAAATAAATACAAGGAAGGAATAGTTTCTAACAGTTAAATCTCCTTGTGATGATTTAAGGCCTTCTGCAGCCCGGAATATGATGTGGGGTTCAATCATGCGTTAAACGGAACTTGCCGATAGTTTTGGGTGCTACTTTCAATTACCAGGGGGTGAGGACTCATCACTCTGTCACCGCTGATCTTCCCACAGAGCAGAGTTGGGGAACCTGTGGCCTTCCCTATGTGCTTGAATTACAGTTCTCACTGGGGTTGATGGGAGCTGGAGTCAAGCAACACTGAGAGGCTTACTAGTTTTCAATGCCCGCTCTAAACAAAGTTTGATAACTACCAACAATAACAGTAGCACAATTATCTATCAGTTTTATAGGCAGTGACTTATGAACAACCAAAGCCTGTCAGTAAGTGGCTGAAAAATCTCGGAAGTACTCAATCCATCTTTCAGACTTGAGTGAAGTAGTATCTGATGGGTATAAACTTAACCTTATCTCGGTGGTCTGGTTGAACAACATTGTAGTTGATGTAGACAGCATGACATACGGCCATGCCATGTGAATTGGTTGCACTAAGCTCTCTGGAAATAATTTCTTTTCTCCATGTGCATTGTTCTCTCTCTTCACACACACCCTGACCAACTCTTAATTGACGCGCTGTTTCATTTTAATCAAAGATGAGAAAACTTTTCTATTCTTGTGCTGGTTAAAATAATCCTCATAGTGAGTAATTGCTTACTTTTCGATAGAGTTGCCACACACTTCTTAATCCTTTTAATTCTTCTTTGGCAGCTCACGCTAGATAAAAAGTAGGATGGCAGAGAGGAGAAGCTATACAAATTGAACACGATTAAAAACCCAGCTGTCTGTAACAAAGTCTCCCGGCTCCTTTATCTGCTAAGAAATAGTGCCTGGCTCGGAGCTTTTTAACATTCCTTTGTCCTCCAGACCATAGGTGTCAGAGGGAGATGAACTGGTGTGAGGGAATTATTCCCCTGACTTTACACCACTTTCTTAATCCATTATCTATCGTCTCATTGGTTTGACGTGGATCTCCAACGGCTGCCTATGCAACTATTGGAAAAACTGAAGACTTCCTGTGCTGTATTTAATCATAGAATCGGTTGCTGCAAAGAAACGGAAAGAGTAGCACTTGGGTCCAATTTCTCCCTCAATTTGTCCAAGTGAAGCTAGCTGAAGGAATTACTGTGCCTTCAGATGACCTGAATCCCAACTCCTCACCAGTTCCTGCGGCTCGAAGCACAGGCTCTACCTCTGTTTTCAGAGCTGTCAGGTTATGGTTTCGGCTCATCCGCTTTGCCTACTGTGCCACCAACGCTGCCTCCAGAGTTCTCAGAAAGCATGTCTAGTCCCTCCTCTCCAGAGGGGGTAGTTATCCTGCCTGTCCTTTGTGCCTCTGAGAGAAAAATGAGAGCCAGTGTGGTGTAGTGGTTAAGAGTGGTAGTCTCGTAATCTGGGGAACTGGGTTTGCGTCTCCGCTCCTCCACATGCAGCTGCTGGGTGACCTTGGGCCAGTCACACTTCTTTGAAGTCTCTCAGCCCCACTCACCTCACAGAGTGTTTGTTGTGGGGGAGGAAGGGAAAGGAGAATGTTAGCCGCTTTGAGACTCCCTAGGGTAGTGATAAAGCGGGATATCAAATCCAAACTCCTTCTTCTTCCTCCTTAGTTGCTCAGGTCACAGAGGTGACAATGCAGGTACGAACAGATGGGACTGATTCAGCCCTCTTGGAAAAGTGCCCACCTCTTTCCTTTATAAGCAGGGTTGTAGAGGGTGTATCATTGTTGGACCAGGGTCTCTGCCAGTGTCACCTGCTGTGGATTTGAACAGCAGTTTGCCTATATATTGCACTGACTCAGCGTAACAGCATTTGGGTAGAAACCACAACTTGGGTTTGCGTTCTTTGTCAAGTGGGAGCCAGTACAATGTTCCGGATGCAGCTCCTCATTTTGAAAGATTTGGCATGTTCCCAACACTTTGTTTCTATGTGGAAGAGGTAGGCTGATACAGGGGTGCCAAGTTGAATAAAATATTGGGGGGAGGCGACAGGTAAGCCCCACCCCACACAATCGACCATGTGATGCAGTACATTTCCGAGCACAATTCAAAGTGTTGGTGCTGACCTTTAAAGCCCTAAATGGCCTCGGTCCAGTATACCTGAAGGAGCGTCTCCACCCCAATCGTTCCACCCGGACACTGAGGTCCCGCTCCGAGGGCCTTCTGGTAGCTCCCTCACTGCAAAAAGCCAAGTTACAGGGAACCAAGCAGAGGGCCTTCTCGGTAGTGGCACCCGCCCTGTGGAACGCCCTCCCACCAGATGTCAAAGAGAATAACAACTACCAGACTTTTAGAAGATATCTGAAGGCAGCCTTGTTTAGGGAAGCTTTTAATATTTGATGCATTACTGTATTTCAATATTTTGTTCAAAGCTGCCCAGAGTGGTTGGGGAATCCCAGCCAGATGGGTGGGACATAAGTAATATATTATTATTATTATTATTATTATTATTATTATTGCAGTACACACACACCATTTGAATGGCAATGCCCATCAGCTTGTGGGGGAAGGCCCCTCAAATATTTTATGGGAGGGGCAAAGACCCCTTGGCTCCTGGGAGTTGGCTCCGATGGGCTGCCCCCGACCCCCGGTCTGCTTCATTAGTTGTGAAGGCATTTTGCAGCCTCTGTGAATGCTGGACTAAAAATATCCCAGCCCCTATAAATATATAAGAACTGACTGTTATCCCCCCCCCCAAATTTGAAATTTTATAGTAGATAGAAATACTTATTTAATGAAAAATTATTAGTTTTTCTTTAAAAAATTGTACCTGCCCCTTTCTAAAAATAATGCACGCCAGCTAAGAAAGGCAATAAAAAAAGGAAGATATTCTACTAAGAGTAGGCCCACTGAAATTCATTGGCTGAAGTTGGTCATGTCAAATAATTTCAGTGGGTCTACTCTGAGTAGGCCTTGCATTGACTATAACCCAATAAAATTCTACTGAAACACTTAAAGCATAAAACAGTGATATAAAGCATATTCCATACAAACAAAAATAATAATGCCAACATCATTATCCCCTTAAATGCGTAGCATAAAATAATAATAATAATAATAATAATAATAATAATAATAATACGGAATCAGAAGAGAAGTCACAAGCTCCCTAACTGCAGAGAACTGGGAAAAAATGAGTAGATTTGCTGGTTGCGTCACCCAATGGTATCCCATAGGCTACAGACCTATGTTGTGCCTTAATCACACCAGTCTGTTGGACCAGAAAATGGCTCCTGATAAAACTATTGGATGAATTCCTAGTTTCATCATGCATACAAATTCCATGTTTCTTCCTAATTGGAAAAAGAGAAAGTAGCAGAAACCCAGCAAGCTGCACTGATTTGGCATTTCATTTCAAGGCTCCCTTGATATCCTTGAATATCCCAGCCTCATTTGTAATCTTTAATTTCTCTCAGGCACCGCTTTTCATTGATATACCCTCTTTTAAATCCTGCATCCCTGACTACATTAAACTACTCTGGTGAGAATGCTTGTGAGGCTTGTTTTATTTATTTACTTATTTAACAATCAATGCTGTCTCTTGGTACCTATGGTTTAAAGTGATGCATGGGACCAAACGTACAAACAGCTTTAAGGACAACCCCATTGTTGGCCAACCCCTCTTGGATTACTCGGACGGTTATTTATTCAGAACTCTCAGCTGCTACATTTCCAGGGCAGAAATAGAGACCCATGAGAAGGATTGTTGCAGTCATTGCTGATGGTTCCTTAAAAAGCGATTAAAATGCATCTTGGAAATAACTTGAGCAGTGTCATGGGATGTGCAGATTAAAAAATCTGCATTCGAACCCGCTTCAGATAGGGGGCTGCCTTCACTTCAGTTCATATCAAGAAAGACTTGTTTTGTTTCAGACTGAAGGGGAGCCTTATTTAGGTTTTCTGAAGCTTGGGATGTCTCTCTGTTGAATATGACAGCTGCTGCTGTCAGCACCAACAGAGACTGCTCTGAAGTCATGCACTTGCGGCATCTTTCAAATGCACCATCAGAGTTCTTAGGATTCTTATTGCATGTGAAGAGAACAGTGAAATGTGGACGATTGTGAATGTATGATCCATGGATTTTTCCAAGAGGTATGGATAAGGGTATTTTGTAATACTGGGAGGAACTTCTCCACTTTTGACAGTTTCCAGCTAGGGGTTCTCTTCTTAATTCAGGATCTATGCCAACTCATCTTTACGCAAACTGAAGTTTTAGACATGGAAATGTTCACAAATGATGCCGAAACCTGATGTAGAGATCAATTCATAATTATTGACCTGATATGGTGGTTAGTGTCTCATGGTTAAGGTCTGATGGCACATGATGAACCCAGTTTGCTGATTGGAGCTTGGATGCCATGTTGAGTTCCCTGTCTGTAAATCAGGTTGAAACCTTTCAGGTGGAGTTCCCTATCTCTTATATTTCTTCTGGTGCTCAATGTGGGTTACAAAGAAGATGGTAGAATGTTGTGTGCCTTGATGTCCTGGGAATGACCAATTGGACCAAAAGGAGGTAAGAGCAAGCCAGGGAGGATGTAGAACCTCTGGTTTCTATGGACTTCAACTGGAGATGGGTGAGCTAACCGAAACTTGCCTCGTACTAACTTGGAAATTTTCTGAGATCTTCCATTTCTAATGAAGATCTTGGATCATTTCTCCAAGGCAAGTGCTCAGAAAAATGCTTGCTCCCAAACCCTGCCAGCCCATGAAGTCCTTTGGTGGCCAGGATCGACAGCTCAATGGTAAGAGTACCTGCCTTTGCAATGCAGAAGGTCCCAGGTTCAACCCCTGACATCTCCAGGTAGAGCTGGGAGACACTCCTGCCTAAAATCTTGGAGAGTCACTGCTAGTCAGTGTTGACATTACTAAGCTAAATGAGCCAATGGTCTGACTCATCTATACCTATGCTGTTGAATGCTATCCCAGCCAGACTCCTCCTCCAAAAATAAACTCACACACTTGCCTTCTGACTTCTGAAGATGCAGAAGTCATGGGAGCAGTAGTGCTCAAGGAGAGGATTGGAAGGAAGCTTTCCCCGCTTCCTGCTTTCTCCAACTGAAGTATGCCCAGGGTACACGGTGTATGTGGCTTCCTCCCAGGAAGCTGCCTTGAGTTCAATCAGGGGAAAAGGTGGGGTATAAATAAATATGTAATTGGAAAGAAGACAAAGTCCCTACCAGAGAGGAATGGCAAACCGAGCTGTTGGACTATGCGAAAATGGCAAAACTGACCGGAAGGCTCAGGAACCAAGAAGACCAAAACTTCAATAAATAATGAAAAATATATATAATTTATCTAGGAGACCACTGTAAGCAGATGAAAACATTAGCAGGATTTTAACAACACTTGTAATGCAGTGAATACCATGGACAATATGGAAAGATACAAAATATGGACTATGAAATAATACGCAGAGGAGAGGGTGTACAATAAGACCCGTGGAGAGGAAGGTGGGAAGTCCAGAAATTTGGAGAAATCTCAAAATATGGATATGAAATTTGGATTGCTATAAACTAATTTTTGTAAAACCAAATAAAAATATCTCTCTCTCTCTCTCTCTCTCTCTCTCTCTCTCTCTCACACACACACACACACACACTACTGTGATTGCAAAATATCCATGGCGAAGCCACACTTTCCACTAGTCATAATTCTAAGGAAACAGCTACGGATTGTTTGTCTTTTGGTATTGCTAGCTAATAGGTGCTTATTGCATGCGGAACCTGTGATCTTTTTCCTTCTCCAGGAAGGTCGGCTTTCATTGGATTCTTCAGAGTAAGCAGTGGGATGGAAATATTCACATAGCACTTTAGATTGTGCTTTCAGTTTGTATTCAGACAGAGATGATTCCCAACTACAAAGCAATGCATATTGGAATCAGCTGGGAAGGGCATGCGCATGTATTATTCACTACTAGTTCCTTTCAAATACACCAAGGAAAGAGACAGGGAAGAGATCAAGCTCCCGCTTCCATGTATATTGAAAGCAAGTGGCAAATAATACATGCAAACACATTTCCCAGCGAGGGCAGCAGGAGTGTACTTTGTGCTCGGGAATCTGTACCGAGTGCAAAATTTGTGAGAAGCCATCCTGAGGAAATCCCACGATGAGGGACAGGCCCCAGATGAACGCATCCAAAAGCACACTAGGAGATTTCTCCACCAGCGTTTGTGATAGCAATGTCATTGGCAAATTGAGAGGTCGTCCCAGCTGAGCTCTCTGAGTTAAGCTTGCCAAAAAAAAAAAAAAATTCAAGCAATGGAATGACAGGACTGAATTTTGCCAGATCTGCACAGGAAATAGAGAAACACTCATCAGGAAACTATCTCTTCACAGTTTCCTCCATCCATCCCATCTCAACCGAGCTCGACATTGTAGCTCTTCCCCTGCTTTGTCAGAGATATTCTGAATTTGGATTCAGTCAAATATTCTCTCTTAAAAAATAAAATAAAATAAAAATATTATCCCTGACTCGGTAATGAAGTCATTTGTCATACATAATAAGGTTTAATTGCACCATTTTAAGTGCTGTGTTAAATTTATTTTGCTCTAAATGCCAAGTTGGAAGTATTCAAAGCAAACTGTGCTGCTGGCTTGGTTTTTTTGTGTGAGATTATTTTACTGCTTACTGCCATATATTTTATTAATAAAGCCTCTTTTGTGTACTGTGGTCATTATGCAGAGAAATTAAGCATTCTGAGTTGGATGCCAAAAACATGGAAATGGCATTTGCAAGCCAGGATTCTGTAAATGCAATAATGGGAAAATGCTCAATGGATTGTGTTTTTGCAGGGTCGCGGAGAGAGAACTTTGAGGTCTCAAGGTATTTCAAAGATCTAGTTCCATTTACAAGTGCCACCCTCAAGGGTTATAACACATTTTATTGGACCATGTTTGGGAACCTGCTGTCTTCCAGCTGTTGCTGAACTCCAACACTATGGAATCTATGGGGGTGCTGTGAGTTGAGGTCTGGTGCAAACTGGAGGGCCATCGGTTCCAAATTTTCATCCTATCTACTCAACTCCACCCCCCCCATAGTTAGCAGGAAGACATAAACCCCATCAGAAATTATCCTCCATGCATTCCAAAGATGTGTGTAGGGGGTATTATGGAAGCTAAATATCCCCTTTCTCCACTCCCACACATTTGCATGCTAGGTGAAAAGTCTGAAATGGGTGACTATGAGTGTAAGTTCCCTTTTCTGTCCTTCTGGCCAATGTGCTAAGCAGATATGTCATGGATGGCTTGATGACTCCCCTCAATTGTGGGGCCTCTGTCCCGCTTCCCTCTATCTGCTTTAAAACTCATGTGGTCTGAAGGTTTCATGTTGCCTTACGATTTATTATTATTATTATTATTATTTACCTTTTAAACTGTGAATCCAGCTGCCTACAGTCTGAGCTTGCTGCAGTGCGCATTCAATGAACAAAGAGCTAGTCTCACCTGGGAGTGATGGAACTTGATGATGTCCTGTCACTTTCAGTGAGCTTTCTAGAAGGTAAACATGGCTGCCTCCAGTGTTTATATGGGCTAGTTTTCCCCTTACTGACTTTATTTTCTGTTGTTCCTACCTATGAGCTAGAGCTGTTCAGATGCTTTTTGCCCGCAATCACCTCTGCAGTACTTAGTGGCTTTATAAGGAGCAATAATTTCAAATGACCTTATATTGAGCAATAACTATGTAACGGAAAGGGAATAAAAAGAATAATTTCAGCACCATAAAGATCAGTTAAGCCAAATAATTGGCTCTTTAAATATATTTGTTCTGCAGTATGGAAAGATCCATAGTGAAAACTTAAAGTAATGCATTTTAAAATCACAGATCTCTGCATCCATATTTTAAATTCCTTTTCCCAGCCTCATTTCCTGTATAAATGCAAGTGCTACCAGAAAGGTTCTCTGCTCACAGACAGGAAGCAAGCAGTTCCTTGCAGTTTGTGCTGCAAAGACAGAGAAGTCTCTTTATTTATCCATGAGAAAACTGTTGAAGGATCTTAGCCAGAACCTGTTGAATAGAGCAGAGCCTATGCAGACTGTCCAGAAGCAGTCAGTTGCAGGCAGGATGAAGCAGGAACAAGACACTGCTACTAGTGACTTGGTTAAAGGTAAAGAGTAAAGGGACCCCTGACCATTAGGTCCAGTCGTGGCCGACTCTGGGGTGGCGGCGCTCATCTCGCTTTATTGGCCGAGGGAGCTGGCGTACAGCTTCCAGGTCATGTGGCCAGCATGACTAAGCCACTTCTGGCGAACCAGAGCAGCGCATGGAAACACCGTTTACCTTCCCGCCGGAGTGGTACCTATTTATCTACTTGCACTTTGATGTGCTTTCGAACTGCTAGGTTGGCAGGAGCAGGGACAGAGCAACGGGAGCTCACCCCGTTGCGGGGATTCGAACCGCCAACCTTCTGATCGGCTAGTCCTAGGCTCTGTGGTTTAACCCACAGCGCCACCCTATTTACAGCAGAATCACTATACAGGATACAGACACGGATCTTAACTCTCTCACTGAACAAACTCCAACAACTCTCAGAACACACACTGACCAACCAACTAACCAACCAGCAAGGTCATGAGTCATCATGCCTATGTCGGTAACCTCAACCAATAGCAGAGTTGTATCCAAGGTCTCATATCTCTAGGCAGAATAACTCCCTCTGCTCAGTCTTCTTGGCCTTCGGCCAACTCCTTAATTGCCTTTGTGGGAAGCTGCATCAGATAGCACGTAATCAAAAATCCCAACTAAAACTTATTGCCTTGTTTATAGTACATCTCTTGCAGTTCCAGGATTAGGTCACACTACCCTAATCTCTAAGCGGTGGGAGATTCCAAGGGTAATAGACACACTTACCACTGAGGGTGGGCTGTGTGGCTGGCCAGCGGAAAAAAGGGGCTGGGAAATGTGTGGTGAGACTTTGCATAGTCTCTCCCCTCATCTTACCCCAGAAATGTTGTGATAGGCTGAAATGCTGTGATTTTCCCCAACTCCCTCTGCAGCATGATGGTTGAATCTTCCAGGTCATTGTGAAGAACAGTACCACCTCCACGCACCGCTGCAACTTCTCCTCTTGCCTGATAGCATTTGCTGAAGTTCCCAAGCCCCTTTGCAGATAGTAAGAACAGAACAGACAGTAGCATTCACCTCTCAGTTCTTACGAGTCAAAATTCCGTTCCTTGAGACCCCCCTCAGCCTTGCAATGGCCAAGAATAGGCAGGAGACCCACTTCCTCAGGCCTGTGCAACCCCTTCATTCCTAATAGCATTTGCTACAGACATGTTGTAGTGGTTAAGAGTGGTGGATTTGTAATCTGGTGAACTGGGTTCGCTTCCCCGTTCCTCCACATGCAGCTGCTGGGTGATCTTGGGCTAGTCACACTTCTCTGAAGTCTCTCAGCCTCACTCACTTCACAGAGTGTTTGTTGTGGGGGAGGAAGGGAAAGGAGATTGTTAGCCGCTTTGAGACTCCTTAAGGGGAGTGAAAGACGGGATATCAAGTCCAAACACCACCACTACTTGTTCTTCTTCTTCTTCTTCTTCTTCTTCTTCTTCTTCTTCTTCTGGCATGATGTGGTGGTCTTTTTTCAGTAGACCTGTGAAATTCTTGTGAGAGGTGTGTGTGTGTGTTTGTGTGTGTGTAAAATTCTGGGTTTACAAACAGTTGTTCAGTCAGTCCTAAAGCTTTTCAGAACTTCTAATCATCTCAGCCCGAGTTTTGATGGTAGATCAAGTGGGGGGGGGATGATGTTTTTTAAATGAGTAATAATCTGGTATAGCTCTCAAATATGACTGCAGCTGTGATTGAC